CTCGTCCCCAGCAACCCACCACTCCCACATCTAAGCTCTACAACCTCAACCCAGAGCGACGGTATGTAGGGGGGGCGGGGGGGGGGGGGGGGGGGGGGGGGGGGGCCTTAATAGAAAAAACGGAGGGCAAAGCGTTGCTTCTAATGTTGTCAACTTTCTCTTATTTATATGTTTCGATGTGCAACCGGTGTCGAAGCGTGATTGCATTAAGTCAACAAATGTCTTGTAAAAATAATAAGCTACCATTTTCTCTTCCAACGGAGCGAACATTTGAATGGTTTCTATTCCCTATTATTACGCTTTGCATGCACATAACCAACTTGTTTCTTGATCATGCAATCGATTGTAATGAGTAATACAGTGAAAGAATAAAATTTTACTTGCGAGTGTCAAACTTTTGAAAAAAATCGCATTTCGTGATTTTTCAAAAGCAACGATAGCCAAAAACATCCGAACGACAACGTTTTTATGAAGAAATATCAGTGTCAACGAGGTGTTTTCATCTAAAAGACGCGGAACCGGTAAAACTGAATTCCAAGCACTGGTGTACCAAATGAAGATAGTGTGAATATTGTGTTTTCTTCGCATACATTCACACCGTCACTGTATATTATTGAATAGTCGTCCTTAAATTTGTACTAAATTAGAACAATAAACAAATTAATACTTGTTGAAAGCAAGAGGCAAATGTGAAGAAATTCGTTGATCTTCTTAAAGAGAGAGATTTTTTTCTTCCTTTTGCTGCCACCTTTTTTAATCGGTTGTTATGGGAATGTGTTTCGTTTGCTATTGAAGCGATTTTTATAGTTCATGTCAAGAGTGCTCGCGAAACTAAAATAACGTCGTCATCGAAAGAAGAACAAGAAATGAAAAACTTATAACAGAATGAATTTTATTATCAGTGTTGCCAAGTTTTTAACCAATATGGTGGTGAGTATGGACAGCTGGAAACTGCATGTTTGAAATCGATAAGGTTTGAAAAATAAAAATGTTCTTTCTCGAAACATTTTTCTAACAAACGAAATATGGTTCATTTTGAGAGTTTCACTTCCTATTATCATTGACTAATTTGCTGTTTTGCTCATGGATATCATGCTACTGAAATCAATCCGGGGACAGAAGCTCGACAAGAGAATGTTAATGATGTGTGGTGAATGAAATGGATGGTAAATGATAGTAAACAACATATATAGTGACTTTCACTTGCACTCGTATACTCATGCTGATTATTATATCATAGGATATCATTGAATACATTATCTTGTTTGAAATAATCTTTATTGAACAAATATGTAGATATGAATAATTAATGAGATTTTTATCCACTGATTACAAATTGACGTTGAAGAAAAACTAATGAATGTTTGAAAAAAATCAATTTAATAACTGTTTGTGATCGTTTAAGGTATTTTTTTTCCTATTATTCGATGATGATAGACAGTGATATTAAAAAAACGAAGAAAACAGATGCTGAGTTGTTTGAAGCTCTCCTATCTTTGTATCCATTTCGACTTCGTGCAGTAAAGAATGTTCATGGTCGTGATAATGATTATTTATTGTATTCATTAGTTGACAAAACAATCAAGAATTTCAGATTATATTTAGTTCGAACTCTATCTAATGAATGATTTCTCTCTTGTTTGTGCTCGATGAAATATTACAAATATAGAGCTCAATATCATACGAAAGTTTTCATAATCCTTATTGTTTAATATTAATCAAATCCATTTTTGATAAGCTGTCATTTGATATAAAATTTATAAATGGCCCTATTTGAAGTTATAACGATACCTCCCTGGAAACATATTATTTCCAACCATATATAATTGATGATATAACTAGAGCGATGTGCTACCAGTAGACCATCATTGATGAATCATCAATCGATCCTATGGTTCAGGACTCACTTTTCTCCTTGATTTATACTCTCCAATATTGATTGCTGTTGTTGATGGTATATGAATTCAAATGATTATTTATACGTGTATTTGTTAATTGTTTTCATACGAAAGAGAAAATACAAATGATGCAAATAAAACACATGCACTAATTATTTAACAAGCAAGCCATTTCTTTTCAAATATTACAATTTTTAAGACATATTTTTGTCTTCCTATTCGAATCAGATTTAATGTTAGCTTTAACCTCAAAATCATACTATGGTAACTTCAGTTAGGTAACTTTGAAAAATAACAACTGTTTTAAACTTTTGTTAGTTTATTAAAAACAAACAAAAATAATTTAAACAGAAGTTTTGCATCTTGCATAAATTTTTTTTACTATGTTAGTATTAATCTTTATTCCATCCATACGTAGTTGCTTTTCTAAGTCAGCAGAACGACGATACATTCCATCTTTGTTTTAGGAAAAAAAAGAGTTGAATAGCATATGACAAAAATAGACAAAATATTCTGTACGTAGGCATCTTAAGCTTATCACACAAAAGATATTCGTATTCCTATTTTTCCTAACATCTTGTACAATTAATGAGAGTGATTACCACAATTGTTCGACCAGGTTTGTTTTCAATTTTTTCCACTATCGTCAATGCTAATAAGAATCCAAATAGTGATTTGTGTAGAGAAGCTAATTTTTCAAGATGAAAATAATTACTGGTTTTCCAAGGATGGAATTTCTGAAATACCAAAAATCATGTTTGTCATCACCAGAAATTTGCGAATAGAATTCCGTTTGAATTACAAAGAATGATAGAACGAAAAATTCTCTACAAGATGAAATGTCTTCCAGCTGTCTATGACATTTTGTGAACCTAGATAGGCGAATGTTAAGAAAGACACAAAAGTCATAGTTTTCTGCTATGTTCTATGAAAAAAATCAATTTTGTCCTTAGCTAAGGTTCTTGTATACCAGTCAGAAAAACGTCTCAGACACCTGGAAGACGTGTTATTTTGTCGACAATTATTTGCTCTATCATTTTAAGTAATTAAAAAAGAATTACATTAACAAAGTGTATGCGTTGAAACTGTAGCAATCATTTTCATCGTTGAAAATGAAATTCTGTACACAAATCACTATTTAAATTCTCATTAGTGCTTCTGGCAGCAGAAAAGAGTTGAAAATAAACCTGATTGAATAATTTTGGAGCCCAGTGTACATCCATGTGAGAGTGTATGAACCAATTTTCGTAGAAAAATAATAGAAATTGATAAAACCTGGACTTAGTATTTTTGGGATGGTTACTCTGCGGATTTTCCATCTCACTTTTCAACCAAATTGTTGTCCTTTTCACCAGGAAAGAGCCGAACATCATCCGACGAATTCGCAGAGAATTTCTGGTCTGAAATATTGCATCCAAGTTTTGGACAGGTTCCAGCGAAATACGTTTGCTTCCGGAGTTCAAAATCATCGAGTTGCATAATTACTTGTAAATAAGCCGTATGTGCATTGTTTTCATGCTGTAAATCAATGCTATGCAGACGAGATTTGCATTTAAAAGACGGTGATGTTAGCTGAATGAATTTTCAGTTTTATAATTTGATGCAATATTCTGTCGAACCGGATATGCATATTCACGTACCGTATATTTATATCTGAGCTTGACATGACATGATTAAGACGAAGACTTGAAAATTTTCTGTGTGAGAAACGAGATTAGCAACAAGCAGTTTCTTCCATATAGAGTACGTGCTATTGAACAAAAAAAAAGAACGGATGAAAAGCTATGTTAAGAAATATAAATTTATTTTTTGACGAAATAATTGAGTCAATATTAACCACAATGAACCTTGAGGAATAGATATTCTCAAGAGTAACAATTTATTACATTGTCTAGAATTCAATTTCTCTTTCTCAATACTTGGACAATCATGTCTTGATGGTCACGAACAAAATCATATAGGTATATCCTGTCTAGGACCCTTTGATTAATACTAATATGACAACATTACTTACGAAACAGATGACTATAGGAGAATATTTGATTAAAAATGTATATTCGGATGACAGCATACTATGTGAAAGAGAATAAGAAAACTGTTGAGAAATCTATTTGACGACATGAATAGCACTCCATTAAATCTACATGACATTAAAAGCAAGATTTTAGTACTTTTCAATTTCTTTCCCGTTTAAACAATATTACTTTGTCAATATAGTAATTCAATCAACTTACATATGTCAAAAAAGAACGATCACCTATGAGAATAAACAATCGTAGTAAGCTGGACTATTTTCGCTAATGCTTGTTACGTCAAAGATTTTCAACCTTGAAAAAGTTATTATAAGTCTTAGAAATAATACTTAATCGTCGAGGCATAGTAAACTTATGTACACTATTTCACCTTTCATTTTGTCATAATTAGATTTTAATAAGTGTAAGAAGATCTTCGAAGAATTTACACTTATGATTTCTTTAAAGATATTAGAAGTTTATAAATGGTAAAAATAAAAAATAATTATTATAAATATCGAGTATCTAATCGTTAATATAATAAAGAAAAAAAAACCTAGCTTTTATTAACATAGAATGTCATTCAACAATAGTCACTAATATTCTACTTGTGACAATTGTTCTAAATCTAATCAACTAAAAACAAAATTTTCTATAATTCAAGGAAAATTTTTACGTTAAAAACATGAACATTAGTCACATGTTACTCTGGTATTTAAATAATTGTAATTTGAATAATGTGTTTATTTTTTGTCTATTAGTTT